TTGTGCGTCGTCGCTAACGGACGTCCGTCCTTCCGTTAACCAATTTTCCGTACATGTCTCCCTCTCTCTCTCAGCCCCAGGAGCTCGGTCCCCAGCCCACGGAGAGGGGACGGGATGGCACGACTTCCATCACCGGACAGACGGACAGGCGTCCGTTAACCATTTTTCCGTCCATTTCTCCCTCTCTATCTCTCAGGCCCAGGAGCTCGGTCCCCAGCCCCCCGGAGAGGGGCCGGGATGGCACGACTTCCATCACCGGACAGACAGACGAACGTCCTTTTACCAAATTCCGTCCATCTCTCCTTCTCTCGCTCTTTGCCCCAGGAGCTCGGTCCCCAGCCCCAGGAGAGGGGACGGGATGTCACGACTTCTATCACTGGACGGACGGACGGACGTTCACCATTTTTCAGTCCATTTCTCCCTCTTTCTCTCTCTCGGCCCCAGCAGCTCGGTCCCCAGGCCCCCGGAGAGGGAATGGGATGCCACGACTTCGATCACCGGACGGCCGGGCAGACGTCCGTAAACCAAATTTCCGTCCATCTGTCCTTCTATCACCGAACGGACGTGCGGACATTCGTTGACCAATTTTCTGTACATCTTTTCCTCTCTCTCCTCGCAGCTCCAGGAGCTCCGGAGCGGGGACGGGATGGCACGACTTCTATCACCGGACGGACGAGCAGACGTCCGTAAACGAAATTTCCGTCCGTCTCTCCTTCTCCTTCTATCGTGCCATCCCGGTGTTTCACCGGGTTGGCACAACTTCCATCAACGGACGGACGAACGGACGTCAACAATTTTCAGTCAATCTCTCCCTTTGTTTACCTTTGCCCCAGGAGCTCGGTCCGCAGCATCCGGAGCAGGGAGGGGATGAGACGACTTCCATCACCGGACGGACGGACGGACAGACGTCATCCATTTCCCGTCCCTCTCTCCCTCTCTCTATTTCAGCCCCAGGAGCTCGGTCCCCAGCATCCGGAGCGAGGACGGGATGGCACGAGTTCCACCACCGGACGGGCGGACGGACTTCTGTTAACCATTTTTCCATTCACCTTTCCCTATCTTCCTTTCTCAGCCATCGGAGAGGGGACGGGATGGCACGACTTCCATCACCGGACGGTCGGACAGACGTCCACAAGCCAATTTCCGTACATCTCTCCGTCTCTCTCTCTCAGCCCCAGAACTCGGTCCCCAGCATCCGGAGCGAGGACGGGATGGCACGACTTCCATCACTGGTCGGACGGGCGGACGTCCGATAACCAAATTACTTCTATCACCGGACGGACGGACAGACGTCCGTTAGCCTTTTTCCCGTCCATCTCTCCTTCTCTCTCTCAGCCGTCAACCGCACCCTGGGACAATTTGTGGGTGATCAGGTCATTCTTTTCTTGCATGTCTGGTCTCTGAGCATGCTTCACAGACAGATCGTACACGCTCGTGACAAGTCTAGACCACACCAACCTTGGATTGTTCCTTGTGTGAAAGAAGTAAAAGCCTCTTACTTATTCTCCTCTTCGAGGTCCGTGTTTATGTTTATACAGGCCTTCTGAAAGTGGTATGGTCTGTCTATCGTGTTAAGGTCCCATAATTCAAAGCCTTCTCCAGAGTCTTCTGAAGTCGCTGCAAAATGGCGAATCGTGCTGCCGAAGCTAGCAGCTCATATAACTTCAAGGTTCGTGGATACATAAGTGCACCTCTGGTCCGTGGATAGTAAGGAGACCTCCCACCAAGAATTCCGGCCGAGGCGCGACTTCTGTCTGTACTTAGAATGCCTTCTCCTAGGAAACGGGAGAACAACATAAAAAGAGAGAGAGAGAGAGAGGACAAGGAGGCAGTCGCAGCTCGCATTTTCGCTGGCCTGAGGTAGTATGGTAACTACAGGCTACCTAAAGACGCAAACCACAAAGAGGTTTTGAAGGCTTTGTGTGCATAGGCTGGATGGATCGTGGAGGAAGACGGCACAATATACCGCCAGGTTTGTGAACAGTCGTTCTAATGCTATGATTCACATTCAAGGGACACACGAGATTTTGAAACCTAGATGAAGATCGTTGTAGTATATACTTAAGAGGTGCGATGAAGATCATGAATTTTTGGAGACGTTATAGTATCTTCATAGACATAAAGTGGAAATGGTGATGGTTTTTATTTTTGTTTCAAATCGACACTTTTATGAGTACTCACTTTGCTATCCGGACCCTAGCGTGGAATATTGACTAGCTAGTTTCAAACTGCTGATTATGTGAACCGGAGCTAAGCACTCCGATTTACAAGATTCAAGACGTAGAAGTCTCTAAACTTCATTTTTCTTTAAGTTGAATCAAGACGATTGAATCAAGTTGAATCTATTTACCATTTACCATTGAACCAGCCTTTAACATTCAGAGCAGCCGTACTGGACGCGTAGTGCGGTCCGAACCGGACGCGTAAATTTCCGTCTGTCCACAGATAGAGAGAGGTAGAGATGGACAGAAAAATTGTTAACCGTCCGTCCGTCCGGTGATGGAAGTCGTGCCATCCTGTCCCCGCTTCCAAGAAAATACCGTTCTCGGTAGGGTACATACAGGACAAAGAGCAGGGAGCACAAGGCCCGTGTCCGTGGAGAAGGCACGCCGCCCGCCCGCAGTTTGAACGACGGGGGCGGGGGGGGGGGGGAAGGAGAGATGGGGGTGGGGTGGGGGCTCGGACCCCACCCCTCAAGTCCTTCGTCGCAGGGCTGTGGATGGATGGCGCGCGCCTCCGGGCGAGACAGGTTGGCGTCATAAAGCTTGTGCGTCGTCGCTAACGGACGTCCGTCCTTCCGTTGACCAATTTTCCGTACATCTCTCCCTCTCTCTCTCAGCCCCAGGAGCTCGGTCTCCAGCCGACGGAGAGGGGACGGGATGGCACGATTTTCATCACAGGACAGACAGACGAACGTCCGTAAACCAAATTCCGTCCATCTCGTCCTCTCTCGCTCTTTGCCCCAGGAGCTCGGTCCTCAGCCCCAGGAGAGGGGACGGGATGGCACGACTTCTATCACTGGACGGACGGACAGACGTCCGTTAACCATTTTCCCGTCCTCCTGTTCCTCTCTCTCTCAGCCCCAGGAGCTCGGTCCCCATCCCCGGGAGAGGGGACGGCATGGCACGACTTCCATCATCGGACGGACAGATGGACGGACGTTAACGATTTCTCCGTCCGTCTCTCAGTTCCTCTCTCTCTCTCAGCCCCAGGAGCTCGGTCCCCCACCCCCGGAGAGGGGACGGGATGGCACGACTTCCATCACCGGACGGACTGACGGACTTCTGTTGACGATTTTCTGTCCATCTCTCCCTCTCTCTATCTGTGGACAGACGGACAGACGTCCGTTAACCATTTTACCTTCCGTCTCTTCCTCTCTCTCTCTCTGTCTCAGCCCCTGTAGCTCGGTCACAAGCACCCGGAGCGGGGAAGGGATGGCACGACTTTCATCACCAGACAGACGAACAGACGTCCGTCTCTCCCTCCCCCAGTCTCTCTCTCAGCAGCAGCAGACCCAGCCCCAGGAGCTCGGTCCCCAGCCCCCGGGAGCCTGCCCGTGCCCGGGCCCGGGCGGGGCCGGGCGACCATCGTTGGAGGCTGGAAGTGGCAGCAGTAGTTTGAATCGTAGTCGTCGTCGGCTCGCAAGACGACGACGACGAATTGCCGTTTTCTCGGCGACTATGGGCGAGAAGGAGGGGGAGATGGGGGTGGAACCTCGGCAGGAGTCACGTTGAGAACACGAGCCAGTGAACTGCATACATGGGAAAGTTGATGATCTTGGCAGACGGGGTGTTGCTTGATACCTACTTGCGTTAAAGGGCGGGGTCAGGTCCGTCAGATAGATCTCCCATGGCCAGGCCAGGCCAGGCCAGTACAGTAGACGGAGTACTCGCTTCCATACCACACCTGCTCCGAGCCATACGCGGCCTCTCTGGCGTCTTCGTATGAGGCGTATCGAGGCGGAGTCCGAGAGTGTGGTGTGCGATGGGATGCGAGGAAGCGATAACTCTCTCTCTCTCCTGCGAGGAGAGAAAGCTTAATTGACCAGCCGACAAACAAATTCGAGTGACTGCAAGTGTGTGCGACTTACGTCGATGGCTAGAAGAGCTCACGGTTCACGATAAAGTCAAGACCGTCTCGCTCGCTCGGGACGACGAAGGCTGGCATAACCTGATCACGGTAAAGTAAAGAGGATTTGCTAGCAAAGCTGGCGGAGGCAGAAATAAAGACGGGCTGTTAACCATCACGTTGGGTATGAATGCGAGCGCTGCCATCCTACGAGATGTTGGTGGAACGATGTGGGTCGAGGGGGTATGAGGACAAAGAGGACTTTACGCGCGGGCGACGGTCATTATATCGTATTGCCCCCAAATCTTGATGCGCCTGGATAAAAATATCAGCCGGACGGTAGTTGCTCCGAAAGCCTATAATGTCTGACAGGCGACATTATGTCCGACTCTCGCCCCCAAGGACGCCATATCGTTTCGTAACGGCTGCGTCGGAGCTATCGTGCGGTTGCGACGCGACGCTGCACGCGCCCAATAATTCCCGCATTTCGTTCCTGGAGACGTTGAGCGGGCGCGATATCATCAACCATGGTTTACCTCCTCCCCACCTGCTATAGTTTCCCAGGCCCGTCCGAGGTGTTAGGGGGAGGGGGGCTGGGGTCAGACTTGGAGGAAGACCACCGAGAGAAAAGTACGAGACATGGGGGAGGACGGAGAGAGTTTCCCCTCCCGGGCCCGACCTGGGTTAGGGGGAGAGGGTCTGGGTTATGACCAGGAGGGAGACCAGCGAGAGAAAAGGACGAGCGAGACATGGGGAGGAGGGAGGGGGAGAGAAGCATTCGCACGACACGGGCCAAACTTCAAACTCCGTCACGGACGGACGGACAGGGGACGGACGGACGACGGATGGAGGATAGAAATGCGATGCGATACGATACGGTACGAGGCGATGCGATGGGATGCACGGGGGAGCTCGATGAATGTTCATGAATTAGTGAGACAAGCTCCGATACTAATAGAGCAATTTTCCTCAATGCCAATTACAATGGTAGCAGAGAGAATTCACTTGAAGGTAACCCTCTGCAAAATCGTTTCTATCTATGGCCGTCCCGGCGACACGGCCATCACGTGCACGTGATGGCTCGCGGCGCTGCCGAGGCGACTTACCACACCTCTAAAGAATTTAAGAGATATCATCATCATCTACACTCCCTCCTACGAAACTGCCTGCGGCTGCTGCTGCTGTATCTCCTTGCAAAATCTACTACTACTACTACGTCTACTACTGCTGCTACTAGCGCTTGCTGCTGCTCGCGTCCGTCTTCCTTCGACGTCCTTCTTCTTCTTCATCTTCTACACAAGTCGTACTACTACCAAAACCTCAAAGCTACTACAGCGTATCCAAAGTACTCGGGCGGGTGGGTACGGGGCGGGCACGGGCACGGGCACACGGGGCGGGGGCGTGCGGGTGGGCGGGGAGGGGCGTCGCGTCGCGGGGCGAACTCCTACACGAGCGTCGTCGCGCTGCTGCTGGTGCTGGTGGTGGTGATAAGGAAGGAGAAAGATGTGCATCACAAGAATCTTATTTCACAAAGAAGGTGCCACAACATAAAGTGGTTATGTTGACAATGCCCTGAATAGTGAATAGTTGCAGACTCAACATCCTGTAGCCCAATGAGCCGTGCCATCCCACGGGATTCAATACAAGCAGCCCGGCCGATGGTGTGGAGGATCGGATCCAAGGGGATGGAACAAGCCCATGGTATGAGCATATATTATAAGCCTACCAAGAAATGCCTACCTCGTAAGACTATCCCATCTCAAAGGATGCAACATCCACACCTATACTCGAGGATCGCTACTAGATTGTGGACCGTCCATCCAGAGAGATGGCACGTCGTGCCAGTTTTCAGGTAAACCAACACAAAGTGACATTGACAGTGGGACAGTGGGGGGGGATGGGGACAGAGAAAGTGATGGCGACAGTGACAGATTTCATGCGACCTCCCTGACTCTTCTCAGAGAGAGACTCTCGCTCAAAGACTAAGCTGGCTAAGAACCTGGCGCGTCGCGGCTTCTCCTTCCGTGGAGTCGTTCTCCGAATCCTCGGGCTCGCGACGCGGCGGCGGGGGCGCGGCGCTCACGGTCAGCAATTGCCGGACTCGCACGGGCGGCGCGAGGCCGGAGCCGGTGGCGAACCTTCGATGGCTGGGCATCGAGGCGCCGTGGGAGGATTGCAGGTTCCACCATTGCGGCGAAGAACTGGACCACATCATGGGGTTGTACGAGCTGTGCGCCATGGGGCCGCTCCGATCCTTGTCGCTCGAGTCGCCGACGCCGCTGTCGCTGGCGTCCGACTGTTGCTTGGGCTTGGGCGTGTCGCCCCGTAGCCACTCCTCCTCGTCCCGTTGGTGCTCGTCCAGCGGCAGCGGCACCTCGTGCGGATCTCTCCTCCGCGTCATCGTCACCGTCGGGCTCATATTCACACGTCGCACATTTACAATGTTGCTCGCCGCGCGGCTCGCGGCCAGCGCCTCTCTCGACAGCCCGACGGGCGATTCCCGCACGGGCGACGAGGTGCTCGAATGCGTCCGCGGCGCCACCATGGCGCGGTACGGGTGGTCCGATTTCAGCAGCACGCTCGGGTGATTGTGCATGTACCGCGGGCCTTGTATCGACTCCTGCTGCTGCGGCATGTCCATGGGGATCCACGACCCCGAATGGTACTGCCCTGCGGAAGGACCCGAACTCCCTCCTCCCACTCCCACTCCCACTCCGACCTGCCCTGCCCCCCTCTCCCGCACATTCACCAGCCGCACTCTCCCTGAGGGCGCCGGGCCCTGCGACGACGTCGATTGCGGCAGCACGCTCGGTTGCGACATGGGCTTCTCGTCCTTGCCACTCACGCTGGCCAACGCCCTCGCTATCGTATTCTGCTCTTGCTCCTCCGTCACTTCCGACTCCGGCACGGTCGAGGTCGACATGAATTGCACGGCAACTGCGACACACCACCGGCCAACCCACGCACATGATTGTCAGAATATTCATCTCATGGCCAATTGCCGCACACGACTTCGGCAATCCCTCGACACGCAGCGACGTTCCAGCTTCGGAACGACGAGACGCGTGCATCACGCCGTGGCGTGAGGTGCATCGCGATGTACGACGTCCGGGGCACCCGAGAGCTCTCGAACGATCCGCGCATCATCATATCATGGCCAACCTCTCGTCACTCTGACCGACTGTTCGGTGCCAGAGGCCAAGATCGCCACCCCACGAAAAGAAACCCACCTCGCAAACAAACAAAAGGATTCGTACGACATCGCCGAGGGTCGCACGACGGGGCCGACCAATCTCTCGAGCACGGACACCGTCGTGGCGGAGAGAGGGAGGGCCATCCCCGCGGCGAACGGAGAGAAGAAACGGAGTGAAGAAAGAATGGACGGAAACGCCGAGCGAGCGAGAGGCAGGAGGCGAAATGCTCGAGACGTGGTACTCACATTGTTTGAGGGCGGACCACGCGGCCATCGCCGCGTTCTTCTCGGCCTGCTTCTTCGTCTTGGCAGCTTCTCCGTCGAACTTCATGCCCGCGAGCTCGACTTGACACGTGAACACCGGTAAATGGCCAGGGCCCGATCGCGTCGTCGTGTAGACGGGGAGCGAAACCCCAGCGCGTTGGGCGGTCTCTTGGAGCAGGTTTTTGCATACTCCCGTCTCATCCTGCACGAGCGAGAACGAGCACTCGGAACATGAGAAACCACATGGATCGCGCACACGGACAAGCACATTACTCACGCATTACTCAAGAAGATGCGGAGGAAGAAAGAAAAAGCCGAAGTAAAAGCTTAGCAAGAAAGGCTCACCAGAATTCTCATGGCAAGCGATTGGGAAGGGCCTCTTCTCGAGAGCGTGTTGAGGGCCACCTCCGCTGCCGCGTGCTCCGCCTGGCGCAGAGTGCTGCAGTAATTAGGGCTCTCGAATATCTCCCCATTGAAGTTCACGGTGGCTTTGAACCGGGGGGCATGGTCGGGTCCCTCCCGAATGCATGCATAGGCGGGTAGATTGAAGCAGCTCCTCTGAGCAAGCTCTTGAAGCTGGTTCTTGTACATACCTGCAAAGCGAAGCATTGCCATAGACGAGTTGGTTACAAACAAAAAGACGATCGCAAAGCCCGACGAGACAACCGAACCAAACGATGAACTCCTTACAATGCACACTCGGAGCTAAGACCGCTTCGACACCTAACTCACAATCTCTCGAACTCTCGAACTCTCTCAAACTCTATCTGTCGCTCCTCGCTCAATCGCTCTCTCTCGCTCGACGCAAGGCACAACTCTCAACTCCATCACCAGCGGGACTCGACAATCGAGAGCTCCTCGCTTAAAAACTTTCGGCCCTCCCCGACGCTGCCAAGCTTCAACGATAATCGGGACCACACCGATGTACGTCAATCGACCTGCGGCACCCTTGGGCCAGTGTCCCTTTCACGCCCCGCGCAGGACGTGAAAACGACCCGACTACCCTGCGGTGCGGGCAGCGGGCACGCCATCACAATCTTTGTGTCATATCAAATCGGGATAGACGCAGAGGCACGAAAGCAGGTGAATCTTTGAAAGGACAGGAAACGGTAAGAGACAGTTTGAACGACAACAGGAGCTATCAGCGTCCATTTCGACGCCGGGGACGGGAGAGGACGAGCGGTTCGCATGGCAGGGCAGAAACTGAAATTGACAAAGACAATCCAGCTCTGGGCAAGAGGGCACGGGGGGCAATCAGGCTGACGGCGAGTGCATGGGGACATGCATCTTTCGGGACTCGAGAGAGTCGTCGTACCGGCAGAGGAGGACGATCTCTACGGAGGAGCTCTAGACCGCACAACACTTGCCCGGCCTACAAAACAGAACCCAGCGCAGCGACCCCCTCACAAACTCACGATCGACGGAAGTATTAAACACCAATCACCAGACTCTCGAATGCAAACCTTTTAGGCCCCCGCCACCACCAACACCAACATCCCCCTCCATAGCCTGCTCGGTCAGCCCCTATCTCAACGTTGTCTCACCTCTGGTAAAGTCAGACTGCACCTTCGTAAGGTGCGTCCTTCACCACATGAGCCGCCTCTCACCCTGTCTCCACCACCATGAACTGCTCTTTCCCACTCAATCGCTACCCTCCCCCTATCGCTTTCCTTTCTTTCTTTCTTTCTTGCTTGTAGCCTTCCCTGTGTTCCCGCCGCTATTCTTCCCTACCCGCAGAATCGGCACCGCGCGTTCCCGTTCCTGCTCCTCTCGCTTCGCGTTCCCTTCTGTGGCAGCAGCAACAACAATCGAGAGCTAACCGCAGGCAGTAGGAGGGTGGGGAGGAGTGTGGCCCTTTCGAGGCAGATTTGCCGATGGATGCGACTCCTTCGATGTTGCTCCAGTCCGCTCTACGGTGAGCCACGATCCAAGACCCCAGTACGGCCGACGTCAACACACTCACTGACACAGACGCAGACGACCGAGACGAATGACTGGCAGCAGATGCGATGCAGAGGCAGAGTCCGAGGCCGGAGTTTCGATGAAGAGCCAGGGTCCGAGGCAGGAAAACGGACTGGACAGTCCAGGCTTGCGCACAACCTCGGACACAACCTCGGACTAGTAGTCTCGGGGCAGTCAGGCAGGCAGGGCAAGCAGGCAAGCTCGACGATTATCTGAACACAGTCCGAGCTTCGCGTCCAGGCAGACGCAGAATGGGATGGGAAGATATTCGCTTCGTTGGAGCTGTTGGTCGGAGAGATATCGATCTCCCGAGGAGATGTGAGATGAAATCGACAGGAGGGGAGAGGAGTGGGAGGGAAGGGAGAGAGACAGACAGAGAGAGGGAGAGGGAGAGAGAGAGAAGCGACGGTCGAACGTCGAGGGGGAGGAGATGGGGAAGTGAAGTGGAGGAGGGGGAGAGAGAGGAGGGGAAGGGGAGGAGAGGAGGGGGGAGGGGGGGGAGAGAACCAGCAAGCAGCAGTGGCAGCGGAGCAGCCGCGGATACTGGGAGGACGGGGGGACACACACACGGAGAAAGGAAAGGGAAGAAGAGCCGAGAACAGCAAGGGGGTGGGGTAGTGTAGTGTAGTGGGGGCTGTAGTAGTAGCGCATGAGGACAGAGAGAGGGGGCAAGGCAGCAGCAACGCAAAGGCGAAGGCGAGCGAGCCACAAAGAGAATGCATCGAAGGGAGAGCAGCGCCCCACGCGTGCGGGGCTCGGGCGGCCGCACCCTGACGCTCGCACGCGCGCTTCCCCAGTCCCCTCCCCAGCCCCCCAGGGGGTTGCTGCGACTGCGCGGTTTACCGCACGGAACCTTTCATTCCGCCATCGCCCTCACGCTTTCGACATCCATCGACGAACCGCGAATGCAATGTTGACATTTGCCTCGGCTGCCCCCAACTGACGTCGCCATGTTCCCGTCTCCCCGTCTCCCTCCCTTGCCCAGAGCCCTCTGCCCCGTCCTCGCTACAAGAACCTGTTCGCCCCGATCGGGGCCACATTATAACGCATGGCTCCATAGTTAAAGACGTTTAGCTTAACGCCATTTACAGGCTGGTGGAACCGGATGTACATGTATGGAGCGAGGTGATAATGTATATTATTTATTGCTGGGTGGGAATCCGAGATATCTTCGATGGTCGGCCGTTGTTAGACATTTATGTCACTCCCTCTTTGGAATTTACTTCCGAAGTTTAACTCGTTTTAGCGTCCAGCCTCTCTCACCCCAAGGTCCGAAACCCCATTCCATTCTGCGCACATCTCGACTGTGACTCGGTCTCACCCCCACTGGAATGTAATGTGCATCGAATCCGTCGGTACTTGTGGGCAGGACACCTCTCCAGAATCGAGTTATTGCACTCGGAGCTTCCAAGTTGACCACTGAACCAAGTTCTACGAATTTGCGCTTATGCAACTTGCTTCCGCATTTTTCGATACAAAGCCACATGTAAATAATTCACAGACCCTGCCGAAGTCAACTTTCGTCGTCGAAATTTGTACACTATCCGCTAAAATCGAAAAGCGAGAGAATTGTAGTTTATTCCGTTTCAGGAGAACACAAACCGCCCGCGAGAAGGAGAAGGAGAAGGAGTGAGATCAGGACCCGTGTCCTTCGAGGATTTGTGTCCCTCAAAGTCCCTCCTCATTCACCCTCGAAGACCTCCGACGTCGCCTGCCGTGCTCCTCCTCTCCTCGAGTTACAGAATAAAGCACGGGGCAGCGTATGGCTCCTGAATTTGGATCTGAAATTCATAAAACATTCATCGATTATAAAAGACAGACCAACACGAAAACTCTCGTAGAATATATAAAACGAGACGAAACTTCTCTCCAAACAGACACGAATCAGAGTCCAACAAAGGTGCATCCCCAGCCCGAGGGGCCGAGAGAAATCCAGAGAGAGCCGAGCCACTCACGTTAAAAGAAAAATAATTAAATAGAATGAAATTGATGAGCTGCTGATTTTTCTTTTTAAATAGTCAGAAAACCTGTCTTTTCGAGTTTTAATTAAAATGCTCACAAACGGCTTGTTTTTTGTTTAATATTTTTAAGAAGGGGCATGAGCCGCTCTAAAACATGCCTGTCAGACTAAATAGACTAAATCTGTATATTCAGCGAGAGTAAGAGGAGAGAATCATGTACCTAGAAGACAAGAATCTCTTGTCAGTCGTCGTCGTCCACCAGAAGGACAGCACAGAGTGGTGAAAGACGAAAGGGGAAACTCCAAAGCTGCGAGTCGACGACCGAAAATTGTCAACCAAAACTCCGCCCCGGTATAGGGACGGGAATATTTTGCGCGCAAGGCATGGATAAAATATTTGTCAACGACAATCAGGGGGAAATGTGAAATAGATTTCTCATTTATGACGAGATAAGATATGGCGAGAGAAAAACAACAACAAGACAAAACCTCGATGGGATGGTCATGGCCTGCCAGCTCATGTGCGCATGGCATCCATTCGAAAGGCTAAACATGTGGTATATCACAAATGCTCGACCGAGTCTAGTCACGGAGATGCCGTGCCACTGTTCTTCGTCGAACTCCATAAAAACGCCATTTATTAGTTTTACTATTATTTTATCGTCCCAGTAAAGATGGTCCCGTTCACTATTAACGTGGTAACTAATTGGCATTATGACCGACAATCCCTTGCTACAGTGTGGGGTGGTTCAAAATAACTTCAATGATACGACCTTAATCATCCGATTAGACTCATTTTCACGAAACTCTGCTCAATGCCTCTGCCCGAGCATAATTCCCCAGCGATCGTGATTATTGTAAGCAAGCGGCTTTGCTGCAGCTCCTTCTGCAGCTCACGTAGAATTTGCTCCTCTGTCCTACGACGAATTGATCGTCCTCCACCTCGCGGACACCTTCCTCTCTCCGAATCAGGTCCTCGCCCTCTTGACTTCGCATTTCCGCAAGCCCGACGACCATGATTATGGCCTAATTAAGTTCTAAATAGTGTAATTAGCGTCATGACGCACCGCACTAATCCTACACGGTTCCAGACGACGACGGCCCCCGGCCCTGCCCCACTGACTCGATCTACGCAGTCGGTTCATCGAGGCGCACGCAGCTTTTACTGGAAAAGATGCCGGCAGTGGGTAAAAGGGTTACACCGTGGTTAGGATGCGCCATCAGAAGGCCTACGGATGAACTACGGAGTCCGTCCTCGCCCTGTCATCTTCAGGCCTAACCCCCTAAGGCCTACGCAGTTGGTAAAAGGGAACTGTGCTCATTCTCGTACGTCCTCCGATGGTCGGTAGAAAGGTACTGTAGTTAAGTAGACATGTAGAGTCAATCAATTCGGTTTCAAAGCTTTCTTCGCGGTCGCATTTACTTGCAATCCCGACGAGTGTGAGTTACACGGTTGTACGTACAGGCTAGAGCTGCTGCGGCGTACAGCCCCTAGAGCTGTACGTTGGAGGCATATATTAACCTCTGGTCATGGTTGAGGACCGACGAAAACGGCTCACTCCTCGATCATTTTTGCCCCGCGGGTTGATTTTTTGAATCGTGGAACCAAATGTTGATAGCCTCGAATAAACCTTTCTGTACCTACAATGGCTAAAAATATATGAACTTAAAAGGCTCTCTAAATATCATAGCATTTTCATTTAAAAGCCTAGTCTGATTTTAAGTAGGCTGACCGGATTTTTAATAAATGTTTGCACTGTGGGATGTAATTCCTATCTATGAAATGATGAATGTGCAAAAACTAGAGAACGTCTCAAATTTAATCCAAACGATGAAATCTACCTATCGAATTTCACAAAGACAATGAGATGACCTCTATTTGTCATATCTTAGTATAGAGTTATTTGGTCCATATTTTGATTGTATCATCTTTTTTGGTATCTTAAGATATCCAAAAAAAAAATTCCCATGTAGACAAAAGGACACAAACTTTTGACTAGGATCTGCATGTGCTCTTTTTGTGACTAGCGTGCATGCTTGTGATTCTTGATTACTTGCATTATGGCTTTCTGACTTGCCCAAGCAACAATGTAAGATGAAGAAGGACTCCATGTGATTTGTAATCCCTTCGTCAAAAAAAAAAAATAACTATCTATGATATAAGTCTCGATGTGATGTTTGTTTCGCCACAAGCAGATAAATATGTATATCTTTGTAGTCCATTGATTAGTTGATTCAAGAGTAATCTGGTATTGTTAATCACCTTTTTGTTTTACACGTTTTGCAAGTGCTATAATTCTAGAGGTTTATAATTAGTGGTGGAGGCAAGTAGAATGGTACATAAAGAAGCCACATCCATGCATCTACCACTTTTGTGAAAGAAAATTGACAAAGGCCCAGCAGGTCAGCTCGCATGGGTAACATTTTCTCTAACATATTGTACAACTCATTTGAAACAGAGTTAAACACTTCTAGATAGAAATCTTCAGCGATGCACTCCATGGTATAATTATCACGTTACCTTATGTATGCCCATGTTGTATTTTGCTCTAGATATTCTCGATAGAGTCAGAAATCCCTACATGACTCGATGGGTTCTTCCCATATTTTTTCTATATAACCTGGTACCAACTTCTAGGGAGAATTGCATTCCATGACCGGTTGGAAAAGACGATATATTTTACACTTCTTCAAGCTCGCCTGCATCATGACAATCAAGTCCTCGAATTAAACGGTAACACAAAACGAAATAAATGAAATATATGATGAAAAGTAAATTGAATATGTAAGCCTACAAGAAGAGTATAATACAAAACATGGAGAGCAAAAGTGGCAGAAAGAAGGCAGCCTGATGCCAAGGAGGAGGAGGAAGATCACAAAATTAGAAGCAAACTCTCGGAAAATGATCAGAATCAGATCAACACAATCGAGTAGCAAAGGGAAGGCAATGGTGCAAATGGCAGTCGAGGTCAGACCAAGTAAGGCCGTGGTAAGGCGACCGTGGTAAGGCGGACTACGTAAACGTAAGGAGAGTCGCCAAAATAGAGAGAGAGAGAGAGAGGTATGAGTATGGGGATACGGTGACGGATGTCTAGTGGGAGGAGGAAACTGTAGGGAGCACGGCACCGACCACAGCCTGCGGAGCAAAAGGCAAATATTTATAGTAGACTTAATACGAAAGCAATGGTCTGTTGGGGTCGAGTCGAGGGGGGAGCTTGTTTTTTCCACGGGAAATCGACAGCACTGCACTACTGCACATCGAAGCTACAGTGGCGGAATAAAAAAAGCCGCACTGGCCTCTTGTGTACATGGTTCCATGCAGAATTCAGCCGAGAACGAAAGACATGGTTGGTGAAAAGGCGATCCCGGAAGTGTATGCCGACGACTCCTGCTCCGGCTTGAATCGGGCCGCTCGATCGACCAGCTCTCCAGCCAGCTCGAACACGAGCTCCAGCATCACCCACTACCGTCCTCTCGCCGGCTTCAGACGACGCTACGGTAGCCCCCTGCCCGGCGAGATGCACCGAGCCCCTTATTTCGGCATGCACCGGTGAAATCTATATGCACGTAAAAGGTCTGCGTGGTCTGAGAGAGTGAGATCGCATTCTCGAGAATCACAGAGACGACTGCAT